TACGATAACTAACTTGATCGGCAGAACCTTAGATTTCAACTAGAAAGTAGTTAATAGTACGATGGTAAAGTGAATGAGAAATGGAATTTGTTTGAGAGGTATAAATAGGTACTGATTTAGGAAAAAATAGGCACAAAGAGGCTGCTTCTTGGAAGGGGATAATGAAGAAAAAAAGGACAAAAAGGGATTGGAAAATAAGTCTTGACTGAAAAATGGGAAACTTGGAGGAAATAAGGTTTTAGGAAGATTCTAATTTTTTTAAATTTAATTATAGAGATAGATACTTGGGAGACCCGCAAACGTTATGTGGTTAATAGATAAGAGAACTATGTACAATGAATCAAGAATATAATCACGACGGAGTGATAAATATTTTTTTATTTTTAATTAGAGATTTCAAGTTTAAGTTATAAAGTTACTTTTGATATGAAACTCTTTATTATTGAAGTGAGATTTCTTTTGACATGACTTTCAATTAGCCGTGTTCCAAAACAAATACCGAATACAAAGAAAAACAAAATTAAGTACATAAAATAAGAAAAAAAATAATTTTGATATATATAAACCCACGTGCGCAGACAAGGATGACTCGAAAAGGTATACTATATGGAAAAAAAGGTGATTATTCGGTTTTATATAATTTAGAGCTACTAGATAGAGCTGGTAAATGTGTGGACATGTTATTGGTGTTTCTAGAAGTAGATTACGACCTTTTTGGGAACTACTTATAGTTGGAACTTCCACGACATTTCTAAAGATGAGTGTTCAATTGAAAAACCTATCCATGGTATGTGTGGTTTCTCTCTATTTAGCGTGAATTTAGATTAGTTGAACTTTAATGTAAATATTAAATATTAAATGAGAAACATTAAAAATATTTCTAAATTTGACACAAATTATTAGTTTCATTTTTAAACTATTGACACTCTTAAAAACACTTATTATTTGGTTAATTCCCGATCTTGCAATATAAGTGAAATAAATTCCTAAATATTCATCAAATTTAGAGGTGTTTTCAACACCCTTCAACACTTTTTATTAATAAGCGTTCCACTTTCTACAAGAGTTTGAGACTACACTTGCTATGTCATGCGACAGATTGATGGTGTATTTAAGCTTCGTTAGTCAAGTAGAGAATGTTTTTAATTAGACTGACAATAATTTAAGAACGAAACTAATAATTTACGCTCAGTTCGGAAGTATTTTCAAATACTTCTCTTAAAAAAATTGAAGAAACGTACACTATGAGCTCTTTTATATTATAATTTACTTACTTATCTATAAGTATCAGATGTTTTTATCTGATTAAATAATTTATCTTGCTATTTTTAAATTAAGAATATTCATCACTAAATCATAATTAAATAGTAGTAACTCTCTCTCTCTATTTATAAGGTCAAACACATATGTAGATCCTTAAATTTGTTCCTAAATTTTATTTTGGCACTTCAACTCAATCTTGTTCCATTTTAACCCTTCAACTCCAATTTTTATGTTCCATTTTGGCATTTCTAAATGATGTGGCAGAGAATGTGCATCACACTTTCTCTAAGAGAGTGAAAGACAAAACAAAATATTTTTTAAAAAAATACTAAAAGATTACCCTTCAACTCTATTTTTTATGTACCATTTAACACAAAATACTAATTTTATGATTTCTTTATTCTATATATGTTATTCAATTGCAATTTTACATTTTAAAAATTGGCGTTCATCCGTTAGTTATTGTAAAAAATTAAAATTGACGGACGATTATTGATTTTTTTTTAAGAGTAACAATTTCTTTTTAAGAGTTTTTCTATATTTTTGCGTGAAAAATAACGGACGAAAGTGCATCGATTTTCTTTCTTAAGAAAATCAATGACAACCCAACGAAGTCTATCGAGTTTCAACATTTTCTTGTAGTGTTATTAATTAGCAATGAACGTGAGTTTTTTTTTACTCGTATTTAGTTGAATGAAAAATTAGAAAGCTAATATTTGAGTTAATCCAAATAGACTAAATATGAAAAAAAAAAAAGTGGTGTTATTTAATTTAATTAATTGTTTAAAAAAGAAAATCAACACACTTTCATCGATTATTTTTTCACACAATAATGTACAAAAACTCTAAATTTTTTATTTTTTAAAAAATGATGTTCATCCATTATTTTTTTTTATTTTTAAAAAAGATACGACGTTGATTTTTAAAATGAAAAAGTGGAAATGAAGAACATAAATAAAAATGAAGAAATCATAAATTTAGTATTTTGTGTTTAAATGATACTATATAAAAATGAGTTGAAGGATTAAAATGGAACAAGACTAAGTTAGCATGACAAAATGAAAAATGGGGGAAAGTTAGAAGAGTTGTGTATGTGTTTTTAATTGGTTTTTGTGTCATGTCATGACATGTGAAGTACACACATCCCACTTTGTTAATTCTTTGGAAAGAAGTGTCAAAATGAAACATAAAAATTGGAGTTGAAGGATTAAAATAGAACAAGATTGAATTGGAGTGCCAAAATAAAATTTAGGAATAAGTTTAAGAATCTGCATATGTGTTTGACATATATATAAATATATATCATGTATTCTTGATTAATATACATGTCATATCAGTGAGTCGTTACCTTTTTTTATATATAAAAAAATTGATGGTCTATTTTGATCATGTATTGTAATTTAAAACAGTTGAAAACGGAACGAATTATTTTACCGATAGCAGCCATACTATAACGATAGACAAATTGAAGGAATTAATTTACTTATTAAAATAAGATATTTAAAATAATAAACACCTCAATCAAGTCATTTTTTATAGTTGAAGTTAAAGCAATTACAATATAAAGTATCTATATCGGAAAAGTCATGGAGTATATACAAGTTGGAGGTGGAGCCAAGATTTCAGTTTTATCAATTTTAAATTTTAATATGAATATTTCAAGTGTTAATTTACTGATTTCCAAACTTAATATTTATACATATTTAAAAAATTTCTTGATAAAATTATATTTATTTGAGCAAAAACTATTGAATTTGGCTGAACTTGCACCTGGACTTCTAGTCCACCCCTACATATAAACATAATGTTTATTAGCTCAAGTTTTCACCTACTAAAACAGTGGACTTGACTCGCCTAGTATGAGACTTTAAGTAACTACAGTTAAAAAGATTCATATCAAATAGTTTAATGACTTGCTTGGATCATTTTAAGAGCTAAGACCTCCTCCAATCGACTCTAACTATCATTATTAATCTAAAGGAGTTTCCTAGCCCTTCTAAAGACTATAATGCTATTTTTATTCCTCCCGACTTTACAATATTATCCTTGCTAGTTTGATATTTTGGATTAAGATTTCCAATTGAATTGGATACAAGTATATATATACCATACTGTAGAGACAAGAATGCACGTGCCTCCATACATTGAGAATGAAGGTTAGACCTACTTTGATATCAACACTTGATTGATTGAAGGACGTATAAAATAAGTACATGAATTTTAATACCGACTACATATTTCATAACACTCACAATAAGCCAATGTTAATTAGTTTGTTTGTAACCATGTTAAAGCACTAAAATTACATATGCAATATTAGACTCAATGCCATCAATCACATGTTTTAAATTCACATTATTTTTGCTTTGATGGACATGAAAGAGGGAATACCAATATGTGTGTTATGAAATCAAGATGAAGAGGCTATGCAACATGTTTTATTTCAATGCAATATAGTTTGACTTCTGGAAGTGTTTGACAAATATAAAAAATAACTTAAAATAAGTCAAAAATGACTTAAAATAAGTTAGGAAGAGTTTGACAATGTAAAAAATGACTTGAAATAACTCAGAAATCAAAAGTAGGTCTACCCCTACTTTTTATTTTTTGATTTAAAAGTTATTTCAGTTTGACTTTTTATTTTTGATTTAAAAATTACTTTTTAAATTCAATCCAAACGGGCTCTAAAACTTCTCCATTGATAAGACATCTAGGAAGACCTATATATTGGGGGAGGAAATCCAATGGAGTGAGAGGTATTAAAAAAGGTATATAACATAGATAAATGTACATATATAATCGTTCTAGCTATTGATACATATCATATATCGATTGGAAGGAATAACAAAGTTTTCCAAAAGAAGTATAGAACTATTAAAGTTTTGACTAAATTAATTATCTAAGAGACTCATTTGAGGGCCGATTTATTTCCAAAAACTAGCTTGGTATATGTAGAGATTGAGTTTCTACCATTAGCTATTTTGGTTGAAAGTTAATTCCTCATCCACTTTTAATTGTCATAGTTTCATTTTTTAGAGTCAAACGATAAGAACTTAGACTAACATTTTTCGATGTATTTTTCATCATATTGATATGCAAAAAATTGTAATTTATAGTACTTTTCGTATAGTTTTTGAATATCTATTTTTTTTTTTAAATATCAAATTATGTAATCTAATTTAACTTTGAAAATTAGTCAAATTGACTTTTGAAAAACGCAACACGCCAATTAAAAGTGGACAGAGAGAGTATTTATATGGATTGAGCATAACTAGAGTCTGTCTAGTTAGATGAATTTTTCTTTCTTTGAGATATATGTTTTCCTTCATATATAAAAACAATATTTAATTATCAAAAATAATTAAATTATGATATCACATTCATAGTGTTAATTTTATGGATTATTACTCAAAGTTTCATTTTATCATAACAAAATTATTAATCAACTTTTAGAACGAAATTTTACTGTATTATCAAGAAAGTTAATAATTTTTTTAAAAAATATTACCTAGAAATCACAAAAAATTGAATACAAATATTATTTTTGGTTATATAAAGAATTGTTGTGTGACTTTATATACCTACTAAAAAAATTATGTGATTTTTATGTTACAAAAAATATCTCTCTCTAATATTTTGGACAAGGTTGAGTAATTTTGTATTTTATTTTACAATAGAACTTGACCCACAAATACAATCATGGCGTAAGTATTTGAAAAAATTCCCCTTTTGTTGTGCAAAGCGGAAGGAATATTTTTAAGTTAGGACATTGCCTTCGAGAAAGCTCGCAAAAGTAGCGCAGAGCAAATTCTCCGCTAGTCGCAGCTCTTTCTACTTCCAAAAATGGCGTCTGGCGGCGTAGGAGGAGGGGTGGTAGAATGGCACCTAAGGCCACAAGTACCAAAAAATCCAGTTGTGTTTTTCGACGTAACAATCGGCAACATCCCTGCTGGTCGCATCAAGATGGAGCTCTTCGCCGATATTACTCCCAAAACTGCTGAGAATTTCAGGTTAAAACTCTCTCAGAAGAAATAAGGTTTAAGGAATTCAAAATTACTTTTTATCTACGTATTGAATGCCATTGGGGATTTTTCGTGTGTTCACTTCTTTATATTTTGAATGCCTTAAGTGAAAATCCGTCTCCCCCAATCCAATGGATAATTAGTGGAAGGTGGTGATGTTGATTTATAAGCTTAATCCCCTCAAGTTATTGTAATTTGTCCAGTTGCAGTGCCTAACTAGCAAGAGTTAAGGTTTTCTTCTTAAATAATGAAAGTCTAATTGATATGTTATCTCTTTTTCATCAGTGAGACTGTTAAAGAACTTGCCACTGGCATGAAAATTTGTCTTTGATCATTGTGCTCAAAGAACATTCTTTTCCTTTCAAAATTATGTTACTTATTTTTTTTTAACTACTAAGTTCTATTCTAAAGCTCTTTTAAATGCTTAATTGCAGGCAACTGTGCACGGGAGAATTTAGGTGAGTTTATCAAATTATGTTCGTGTTCCATTCCTTTTTGGTTTTATTTGATGCTAGTTTTATGAATTACTTGGTTTGTGAAAGGATTAGTGGGGATTGTATTAATTTCTACTGGCTTTTGGTTATGTTGTCTAACTCATCTGCAAATCTGATATATTTTAGGAAAGCAGGAGTACCACAAGGCTTCAAGAATTGTCAGTTCCATAGGGTGATTAAGGACTTCATGATCCAAGGTGGTGATTTCCTAAAGGTTGCTTTCTCTAGCCTTACCCTTGTATTAGGATTCTACATTAAGGGTTGTTCTGGAATGAAGGTTCCCAGTTCCATAGGAATTGGGGTGACTGACGATCTTATGAAGGGCTACTGTCTCTGTGTGCGTGTGTGTAACCCTAACCTGTTTGACATATACTGTAATACCTCTGAGCATCATGTTTATATACACATTACTGTTATGTCTCCACTAATTATTTGTGCGAGCATCACTTGCACCTTCTTCGTTGCCCCATCATCTGTTTGAAACGAGCATGCTTCATTGTTAACTCCTGCTCTCTTGGTCTGTACATAGAATTCTTTATCAAGTAGTTTATTCTGAATTCAACCTGCCCTCCCTTAGCTTTCCTTGATGCTTCATGTGAAATAAGAATTTCCCAGATTATTGTATAAGTATCTTAACTTTTGCTAAGAAGATGTCAATGCAGCCTACAAGGATGGGAATCTATAGATCACTGATAGAAGTCTGCAGTGTTGTAAAAGATTTTCTTTTTTTGAGAATAAAAATTTGGAGTTTTGGACCATTTCTCGATTTGTGCGTGTCATCCTTGCGCAGGGGCCATGCTAATCTTCTCTGTATCGTTCCAATTTTATCGGATGTCCCCGAAGGGACTTGTAAAAGATTTGTATTAGTTTTCTTCATGATAGATCCTCTATCACTTATGAAAATGCATAAAGTGCCATCATTTTGTATTGATAAAATGAAATCTCACCAATTGCCGAGGTACTTCTCGTTCTTTCTAAAAGAATATGCCTCCTGAGATTTTCTCTCCCTCCAGAAGGGTTGCTATACCCCAAATGCATCATATTTTTCTTGTTAATCCTGCCAATTTGACTTCTAATATGCATTTAATGATGCACTACATATGTACGAATATTAAGAAAGTACTCTCTTTTCCTGGAATACGACTCTGTAAGTTTCATTAAATTCTTTCTACATGAAAGATTGTGTGCTTTCTCATCTATACAATAAAATACTTGCTTTGCTTGATATTTTGAATCATGATGTAGAGACAATCTCTTTAAATCATGATGTCCTTCAACGTTCTGTTTAAAAGAACTGGTTCTTCACTCTAACCCTCCTCCCCCCCCCAAAGACCAATGCAGCAAAGAAGGACTGCATGAATCAGAATCTGCTTATTAAGACAGAAGACCGAGAAAGAAATGCTCTGTGTTCGAACATTGGTTGATTTTGGCTTAGCGTGCTAGCCGTTGCTTCATTTTCTGTAGTGATAACTGATAACGCCCCAAAGAAAATGAAAATAAATAAAATAGAGAATTGATCCCTTCACAGTTCACTCTTAATGCTGGGTTTGTTGTTGAACTCTGAAGTTTCTAATGAATCAAAAATCACTGTTATCATATTTCCTTTCGTTCACAATCTGTATTGGATGTGTTAGTCTACTCCAAATTTTTTGATTACTCAAAGGTGTAAATACAATATGTCAAAGTATTTGCAATGGAATCAACCAACTATTAATTACATCTGAGACTGATAAAAGCTCTTAATTATTCAGAGGTTCCATATTTAGCTTTCAAATATTTTACTTCTGATCAACACAATATTAGCTTTATTTTATATCTCTTTTAACATTGGCTAATTCTTTTTTCTGCAGGGAGATGGTAGTGGATGTGTTTCCATATATGGAAGCAAGTTTGAGGATGAAAACTTTATCGCCAAGCACACTGGCCCTGGCCTATTATCAATGGTATCCGTTCCTTTCATGTCTGTTGCTAATGACATCGTGATTTTTTTTTCATGACAAATAATTATTTTTTGCTGAATTGTCAGCTTATACTTTCATTATTCTCCTTTGCAAGTTGTTTAACTTTATGTAACTGCATAATATATAGTAATGGGGGAACTGTAGTATGGAGAACCTGAGTTGCAAAAAAAGAAACTTTATGACTCTAATCACTTCTAAAAACAATTACTCCTTGGTGTCTCAGATCCCCCCATGCACCTGAGCAAGGTGTAAAAGTAAAATAAAACCCTGAGCTGATCAGAATTGATTTACCACCTTTTTTTTTTACCATGGTGCCCGGGTCAACTTTCGTGCACCTCAACTAATTCCACGGGATACCTGTTACCTCCCACGGGTACCAGGTAACTCTGTTCACCAAGGCTAGGACAGATGGCAAAAATCATCTAGTGTTTTGTCTCTGACTGGGATTCATAGACCTCAAGGCTCTCAACCACTTCATTGACTACTAGGCCACACACGTGGGTGCAATAGATTTACCACCCTTAAAGAACTTTTCAATCCCTTTCCTGACAGATACACCCAAAAAGACAGTTTTGATCTACTGCCATGACTTTTTTCTCATCCCCTCCCCAATACAAGACCAGCCATGTAGGACCCTTTATGTTGCTTGCATTACCAGGAAATCCCTGTCAGATTGAAATGCAGCACCAAACATTCAAATTCTATTACCATAGAGAAAGAGGAGGAAACTTTTTACAGAACAGTGACCAGAAATTCAATGGTCAGAGGAGGGACTCAATACCCAGAGTCTGGTGTCATAGAGATGGAATAGAGAAAGTAACAATGAGTAGAAATTCAATATTCTGAGTAGGGAGACAAAACTAAATTATAATATCACAGAGAAAGGAGAAAAAGTGACTTTTCTGGAATTTGGAATTTAATGATTAGACTAAAAGATGAGGGGTCCTTCTCAAAAGAAAAAATAGTCAATGTTAAGATGATGGACTCAGTACCTAAGCGTCGCTATTTGAAAAGAAAAAAAAAAGAGAAAAGTGTTTGCCTAATATTTTGTCCGCGAATCGTTGGAAGGATGCTCATGTGGACCGAAGAAGTGATGCCTTAGGAATGATTACCTAGGAAAGGCTCGCGCCATTGGAACAATCATTACAAAGCACAATCTGTCAACAAAGGTCTCAGATAGTACTTGAAGCCTGGATTTTTTCCTGCAATAGAAGGGCAGAATATTCTGGTTAAAATAGTTGATGAGATGGTTGAGTCCATCAAGGATAGGTCCGAAGAAGGATGAGATCTACTTGTGTCCCTGAGTTTGTGAAAGCAGCCAGATAGTAAATTTGTCAAGCTAATATGGAATAGAGGTGATTTTACCTTGAATATGTCAGAATTATGTATTTGATGGCATAGACACTTATTATGAATTCACTTCATTTCATTACCTTCGTATCTGTTCAGAGTTTTTGTACACAATTATATCAATTTAAATTACTTAAAAAGTGTTTTAACAACTGTGTGAAAGTTGATTCTTCAAGCGCATCCTTACTTTCTATTTTGACGTAAATTATGAAATCCTTATTTTGGCAGGCAAATAGCGGACCAAACACTAATGGATGTCAGGTAAGTCATAAGGATCATTCATCTTATCCAGGAAAAAAGTGGATTAGATCACAAAGCCTATGTTTCTGATTCTGCTGTTTGCTCCATGCAGTTTTTTGTCTCATGTGCAAAGTCTGAGTGGCTCGACAACAAGCATGTTGTTTTTGGGGTATGCTTTACTTTTTACCCTAGCCTCTAGCATTTCTAGTATTTATCCTTGACATTGTCTCTCATCGTCTTCTGCTTATCAAGACTAGTCACTTAATACATTCCTTATTTTAGAGCCAGATACTGCGTACCAATGTTTCATCAGATTCAATTATGTTTTTTTTACATAAATTATATCAAATTCACTCTGATAAACATATCAAGCAATGAGTTTTTCCATATTGTCAACCATTTGTTTCATCTAAAACAAGAAACTTCTTATTGACTTCTTCTCCATTGTTATGTGATGAAAATTTCTTTTTCCTGCTTTCTTTACAGCGTGTTGTTGGAGATGGTCTTTTAGTGGTCAGGAAGATTGAGAATGTGGCTGTTGGAGCAAACAACAAACCAAAGCTGGCATGCGTGATTGCTGAATGTGGAGAGATGTAACTAGTGAAAATAAATGTACACCTAGTGATTTGAAAACACCCATCTGTACCTGGTTATATTTTTTTGGCTTAGTCTAGAGGACCTGTTGAGTTGATTAATCAGTTCTTTATCAATTTCATTGACATTAATGATTAAACAGTGGACTCCTCTCTCTCCAGAATTGTAGCGAACAAGAAAGATGTACTGGATGCAAGTGTTTCCTATGTCAAAGTACATTGGAAGATTTTTGATAAGAATGCAAGTGTGTTATCTATGTTTCTATTTAGTTAATCGTCTAGTGAACATACTTCTGAAATTTCTACACAGAATATATAAATACCTTCTCAACTTATGCCATTTTGTTTAACTACACGCGGTCTGAGATTGTAGGAACCTCTAGACTTGTTCAAAGTGGAATTCAGATTCGTCCATGATAAGCTAAGTATTCCGCTTTTTCCTTGAGGTGAACCAAAATTTTAAATATCACCTTCATCACCTTAAACACAATACATTCGCAAGACCCCAACTTATAATAGATTTAGTTAAAATTATTGAAGAGTTTCTTTCTCAATTACGAAGGTAGTATGTGTGCTTTAAAAGTGGTACAAGTGTATATGTGCTTATATACTTGTACTTTCTCTACAAAATAAACCAGTAAAATCACCAGCACGTATGCGCTCTCTTCTTAGTTAGCTCAATATAGCAATTAACCGATCGCAATAACAGAGGAACTCTCATGGCTCCTGTGGTACCCAGATCCGGAGACGCCATTTTCGCCAACGTCGAACGAGTGGTAAACACAAAATCCTAATGAGAAACCTTACAATTTGAGATCGTGCTTTTTTATTTTTACGATTGATTTCCATTCATTTCAGTATTAATTGTACAATTAGTTACTAGTATTTTGTTATTTGGTGCCAAAGAACGCAGAGCTTTTCACTCTAATGTATGGAGCAATCGTGCGCCAACTGCTGACTGATCTAGAGGAGGTTGATGAGGTCAATAAACAGCTTGATCAAATGTAATATGGTATTAGTTTTTTTTTTTCTTCTTGAGCTAGGGTTTTTTGGTAGCATTATGGAAGTGTAAAATGCAGCATTCGTCAAGGATTCACGAATAGGAAACTGAAGTTTGATTGAATTGCAGGGGTTATAATATAGAAATCAGGCTCATAGACGAGTTTCTGGCAAAGTCTAATGTTTCAAGGTGTGTTGATTTCAAGGAGACAGCTGAAGTCATTGCCAAGGTCTCTATCTCATTTTTATTCTAAAGAATTATATGCTGTTTGAGCTATGAGTCCTTGAGTTTATTCCTCATGTGAAGTTTTTTCGTCGTTATTATTTCAAGTGGCTTCACAGATCATTATCCTTGTTTTATTAGGTTTCACATGTTAAAAATCTGCTGGTGTATTTTTAGCTGCTGCTTAATTGTCTGCCTCAATAAATGATAAGAAAGTGTGTAGCTTTGCTGTTGATTTTAAGCTCCTGCAGAAAATTGTTTCGTCAAGCATCTCAGTCATTTCTATTTGGTTTCACTAGGATAATTACTCTCACTTGACATTTGCAGTTGAATTTATCCCTAAAACTATATCTAGAACTTTCCCTACTGAACCATGATATTTAGGTGTGCGATAGAAATGACAATATGAATTCCAACAAACTCAAATTACATTGCAGTAAAAATGTAATCTCAACGAGCCCACAAGAGGATGACTTCAACTACAATTTTCAATTAAATTAGCTAAAAAAGTTCAATTTGCAAATTTACTTTCATATTCAGCAGCTGTAAGTAGCATTACTATGAACTATTTTTAGTTGCCAAGGGTGATTCTATCACCATCCTAGAATTTGACCTATAAATCAAGTATTGGAGAAAAAGGAGAAAGCAGGAGAGAGTAGAAGAGAAAAAAACAGAAGATGAGCCTAGAAAGAAAATGAGTCAGCTTGATGAAGAAAACAAATAAGAAAGAATCAAATCAAGAAAAAACAAGGAAGCACATGCTTATTCTGAGTTGATTCACTTCACGCATGTGAAAGGAGGATCTCTTGATGCACATCACTTCATCGCTTTAAGATGGAGTGATTAGGGATTGCTTTATGAGCCTAGCCTTCTAGTTGATATTGTGGGGTAAGGAGATACATTGTACCTCCCCCTCGATATACCTTAGCTGACAAGTATTCAGTGGAGAAATTTGGTAGTGCTTATATTGTACAGTCAGTCTAATATCATGCTTCAGTGCCTTCATACTATTTGGGTGTGTAGATTCCAGTGCTTAAAGTGTGTTTTGACCGAACATGGTTTCTTTTGCTCATGACAACAGGTCGGTCTCAAAATGTTCCTAGGAATCACTGCAACAGTGACAAATTGGGATGTTGAGGGAACAACATGCAGTCTAATTTTGGAGGATAACCCCTTGGTAGACTTCGTTGAGCTCCCTGATACCTGTCAAGGCCTATATTATTGTAACATCTTAAGTGGAGTAGTCAGGGGAGCATTGGAAATGGTAAGCTTTGTCTCTCGATACAAACTGATTATCCAATTAATGGTATAATTTCTTGCAATGACCTGTCCTGTGCAAAACATGCGTAGCTTTAATATGTGTTTTTCCCCCTCTTCTGAAATGACAAGTATTGTGTGCTTGAGTGTCTTTGTTTTTCTCTCCTTACTTTATTCCTCAAGTGCAGGAAGGTTTTTAGTTTTAAGCAATACGGAATGAACTGGCATGTTATTTGACAGTCATTGATTTTTCTTAAACCAACGTTGGTTCCTGCTCCTTCTGACTTTATGTTACAGTGTATTGGTGTTTTCTTCGTAGTCATTTCATATTATTGTTACCATCTGGTCGTTATTGTATCCATGCTACAGTACAACCCTGTAAATTGATTTCATTCTCTTGCTTTGGTACCTGGAAAGAGTAAAGTGGTTATTTACATAATCTGTCATGGATAGTTGCATAGCTCTCTCTTTTGGAAACTGGTAATTGTATTAGTTGAAAAGTGGTTGCTCCTTAAACAAGATGTGATTAAAAAAAATTCACTAAGCTTATACATGATTCTCTATAAATAGTAGCCAATCATCAATGCTTACTGGAATGTTAAAGGTGTGCCAAAAGTGTCAACAAAAGAAAAAGAAAAAAAAAGATTTCTCTATAATCTGTACATTTTTCAACTCCCTCAAAATACTTCTCTATTTTTTCCTTTCCAAACCATCCAAATAAGGGCCAAAGGTGCTATTTCCTGGAGGAAGCTATCAAAGGAGTCAACACATTGATATGAGAGAATAATATTCTATGCAAGCTTCCGGCGTTTACATGAATAACTGTGATCAGTTAAAATTTTGAGATTGTTGAATTTGTCTTGGACTAAAATTTGTTGCAATTGAAAAGCTCTCTATTTTCCCTGTGTGTTCAGGTGTCAATGAAAACAGAGGTTACGTGGCTTCGTGATATGCTCAGAGGGGATGACGCATTTGAGTTGCAACTGAAGCTTCTGAAGCAAGTTCCTGAGGAGTACCCTTACAAAGATGACGAGTAACATGCCTCCTTTTTAATGCTTGCCATTTGGAGTTCTACGACAATCTATAGCAAATGCCTGAAATCTACACACACAGATCTCTGTCTATTATTGAGTATGTAATTAAGTACGAGTTAAGTTTAAGTTCTACTACTGAGTTCAGTTTTCTGAAGGATTCTTGTTCAATTTTCAACTGATGATCTGTGCTCTGTAATTTTGAGATTTATCTGTATCTATCAGATTGGAAGATCTTCTATCATTCATGGATTTTATAGGTAATTGTTTTTTGCTCTTGTCCTGCTTCTAAATGTCTCGATGTCCGAGTCTTCTGAGACTCTAAATTGGTTCCTGTGACACATGAAACCACTTTCCACCTGAGATGAATATATCCGATTTACGTTGAAGCAATCATGAAATATCATATGTTTTGAAGTCCCAAAAAGAATCGATACAATCTTTAATGTCTGATGGAAAGGCCTTTCCAAGTTTTACCAGCTTAAAATTTTCAGGCAATCTATTTTTGCCAATTCCTTCTGTTATAGTATCACACGAGATTTCAATTTTTGTTCTCTAGCTTGCTCCCTCATGTGAATCTCTCCTATTACTTTGTGATAAACCAGAAAAAAGGAGAAACCAATAACAAAGCAGATTATTCTTGAGCTGTTTTTGCAACAACGAAAAATCTTTAATACCTCACTTACCAGAACGATACAACAACGAAAAATCTCCCATGACTGCAGAAATTGTACATACATGCCTCCCAAACAGGTTTAAGACTGCACACTAAACATATACATGTAACAATAAACAAAAAACTACGTTTTAAGTACATTCCCTGAAGAAAAATAATAATCTGTGCAGCAGATTGTCTCATCGACAAATGAGATCCTGAAAAATTAAGGGGGAAAAAGAGTTTTGCTAGTGTATTATGTTACAATCTCATCAATGGTTTTGCTAGGTCCTCTAAAATTATACACGACAAGTACACTAAGCTCCAGATTTGGGGATTTTGAATTGCTTCTTGACAAACTGAGAGGCCTCTGACTCTCCTCGATGACACAGGATCCTAAGTAGGGTCTTGGTATCAGCACCTAATTTGCCCCTTCCGCCCTGCATTTCTAACTCACTTGCAGATCTCAGGTCTTCTATTATTTCCCTAGTCTGTGGACCATAAGAAACAAGCAGTACGTCAGTCATGTAGCATTCTCGCAGAGAAGATTCAGAATAAAATGTGTGAAATAGAAACCAGATTAGATCAGCTTAGCATCTACGTGGGTTAGTGCAAGATACGTCCCTACAAACAATGTTCGAGCAGCAAGCAGACTTTTAAACGTATACATATAATTTCTTTCTAGAATGAAAGTTAGCATTACAGCATCTTATAGACCAATTCTACATATGCAAAGCAATTATATTCATTAGAATAGTGCTATACGTAGACATTGTTATCGAGGGAGATAAAACAAGAATGCCAAAAGTGCATATTGCTCATACAAAGAGTTTCATGATAGAAGAATGGAGAAACAAGGATCAGTAACCAGATGGACAAAGGTTTTATGCAGTCAATTCTGCTAATCTTAGTACTTCATTATGGATGATATTGCTGAACTAACCTCATAACCTTGCAACTTTATCACCTGCCGAACACGTGCAACTTGATTTTCAACTACTCCACGAGGAAGCCCGTCCCCACCCGAAATGAAGAATTCCTTTCACAAACAAGCAGCATAGGTTAGAAATAACCATATTGTAACTCAACC